TAGGAATGCTTGGCTCCTCCCCTGGGCGGAGCATCTCCCCATGGGATGCTGGGATTGGATCAGCCCTGCAGGGACACTCAGTGGCCATGGACAGCAGAGATCTCCTGGAGGGAGGGTTGGCTGTGGGAGAGATAAAGAAAAAACTGCCCCATGAACAGAGATAACTGCCCCAGCTCTGACAGATGGTGATAGAATACAAATCCCCAGCCACATCTTCTAACCTAAGACACCTGGGATTCCAGTGAGGGCTCCTCTGTGTTCATGGGAAACCAAACTGAAGTAAGGAAGCAAACTGAGTTATTTTTAATGTCCTGCTGAACAAAAAGTTAGTTGGTACCCAGGTGCAAAATAACAAAACAATAACAATTTCTTGTCATCAAAGATGATTTGCAGTCTTGAGAACTTTCCCATTTCTAAGATACACTTGATCTCTTTCAGAAAGGGACATGTTAATTTTTTGCTTGTTTATAAATTTTACTGATATTAAATTTTCTGAATGAGTATGAATGAGCACCAGACCACCACACATGTCCATGGCTTGTAGTGAAAATAAATTAGGCGGTGATCATGGGAGAATGCTCAGAAAAGCAGGGGAGATGTGGATGAAAGGAAAAGTACAGGATATTGCTAAAGGCTTGGTGAGGAAATAATGCATGGTGTTAAAAGCAATTGGGAATAGATTGGCAACATAAAAAAAATCTAAAATAAATTAGCAAGACAGTAAATACGTTAAACTTGAGCAAACACTGATGTGAATGACAGCAATCAGTGAAACATTTTCCTAAAACCTCAAGGTCAAGATTTAGGTGAAAAAACCTGTAACTTCAGGAATGAGCAGTTCCAGATGAGGTGTTCATCACATTTTTCCATTTCTGTATTACAACTCTGCAGGATGACTCAAGATGACTCATTTGGAAGGTCAGAGTCTGACAGACACTGGTTAATTCTTTATTCACTGGTTAATGAAATCAATTCAGGCTTTTTTGTGAGGAGTTTTAGAACAACCCCTTCAAAATTATCAACTACATTGGGAAGTCAAAATTTTTTAGTGACAACTGACTCTTGTTAGACATTTGTTGAAGTGTTGAACATAAAAACTTGAAAGTATGAGATTTTTCAATTACTGTGGAAATGAGATTGTAGTAATTTAAAAATTTACCTTTTTACTTTTAAGTATAAAAATAAGTGGTGGTTGTCCATAATTTAATATGAAATGATTATAATAAGCCAAACTATTTATTCTTGTGCAATTCAAAAATAATCTTCCATTCATAAAACTATTGATCTGTTTTAAAACTGAGTTCTGAAATTCCAGGCATTTGAAGATGTTCACCTGCAGAAAAACAAAAAAGTGAAAATAATCCTAGATTATGCTGATATCATATTTACCTACACCTTTTTTACGGAGATGCTTCTGAAATGGGTGGCTTTTGGTCTGCACAGTTATTTCACAAATTCTTGGTGTTTGCTTGACTTCATCATTGTGTGTGTAAGTATTATACTCAGCTTGACATGCATTTTGATTTTTGATATTTTCTATCTAGAGAACTACCTCTAAATTGTGATTGTGAATTAATACAAGTCTTAAAGACAGTTTCCAAAACATAAAAAACCTTCAATCCAAAAGAGGTTTTAGGACTTGAAATGGAAATTGTCAGCAATAATCAAGAAGTTGCTGAAGGAAATTTTATTCGGTATCACCATCATTGAGGACCATGATGGTTCTAAAAACATTTTCAATTGTAGAGGGAGAGTTCAATTAGGGATCAGAAATAAAATTAAAATAAATTGATGAGGACAGTAGAAAATGTGAAGCTATTGACAGTTTAGGACTAGATGATTTTAAAGGTTCCTTCCAACCCAAATCAAATCTGGGATGTTGGCATTTAGAAAGAGAAGAAAAGAAAGAGTTCCTTCCTTGAAGGAGAAGAAATTTAGATTGCAAAGACAGTTGAAAAACATGGTTGGAAAAATAATTTACCAGGGAATTAAAGATAAGGAAGTATCTTTTGCTTTGCAAAGACAAATGCTGGAATCTCCAAGAGTGAGGTAAGTGCTGTATTCAATACATTTGCTCTGAATGTAGAAAATGTTAAATATTGTAATCTTGCTGTATAAAAATGAAACATTTTTCTTGTCAACATCACAGTAGAACTGGTCTGAATTTAAATATGTTAGAATATGAATGTCTAAACTGGTAACTTGTGACATCAGAGTAGCTTTTGATAGTCAGCATTGAAAGTTGTGAAGTACTAGGAAATTTCAACAGTAATATCTAATATTATGACTATTTGTAAAGAATACTTGAACAGTTACAGTTTTAGAGTAAATAGCAGTCCAAAACATAGGATAAGCATGGAAATATCCAATGGGTGAACATTGAGACAGCAAATTCAGATAAGAAGGAAGAGACAAATAATGAAAAATGAAAAAACCTAATTATTGAAACGATTTCAATGTCTTAATTTCTCTCTTAGAAATAACAAAAATGAACCAGATATATTTTTTAGAAAAAATTTGTTTCCACATCCCCATCCTCTGTTATAATAATAAATTCCTGTATACACTTTTGAGAATAACTATGTAGAAAATGCGAGTATTTTATCTGAATAAACCTTTCTGGTCTGGAAGTGTATGGCAATATCATAGTTACCAATTTGATTGTTATACTAGTATTAAACAAAATTATACTAACTGTTTTTTAAAAAGTCAAATTAGAATTAATTCCGTTTTATTTATGTGTTAGAAAAGAATGAGGTAAAATTATATGATAGGATATGATATGATATCATATCATATCATATCAGTATATATGTATATGTATATGTATATGTATATGTATATGTATATGTATATGTATATGTATATGTATATGTATGTAAACTTAAAATGTGTATTTTTGTATTTTCTTCATTTAACTTAGTGGTGAAATATACTGTAACTTTCATCTCAGGACTGTTTACTAATATAGATAAAATAAAATTTTGTATGCCATTTAATGATGCCAGTTCCAATTCAATGAACACAGCTGTCCTTTGTTTCCTGGGGACGAAATTCTGTTTCTGAAGATGCCTCACCTTGTCCCTCTGGGACCAGCCTGAAATCTCTCAGGACTTTCAGAGCACTGCGGCCTCTACGAGCTTTGTCAAGATTTGAAGGGATTAAGGTAAAGATATAGGGGGAGGTCTGGGTTTTTATATGGATGACAGTTTTCAATAGATATTGAAGAAGTAAAAAATCAGTTTTTTTTCTGGGAAAATTGATCTGTTGAATTCAATTAATGAATTATTTTCATTAATTTCATTCAGGTTGTTGTGAATGCACTCTTTGGAGCCATCCCCTCCATCTTCAACGTTCTGCTTGTCTGCGTTGTCTTTTGGCTCCTCTTTAATGTTCTAGGAGTCAAATGGCTTGGAAGCAGATTTTGGAAATGCACACACAAAGTAGAAAATACTGATGACATTTATGGCAAAAATGATTGTCTTGCCTTGAATTGGACATGGACAAATGCTGTTGTAAATTTTGACAATGTTGGCATGGGTTACTTGGCTCTTCTCCAAGTGGTAAGTTCTATAAAAACATTTTCATTTTATTTTTTCTCAAGGAATAGTTTGAGCAGCCAACCAAGGCACGCCATTATGGTTCTGTTTATCTTACTGTAACTGTGGATTTTTTAGCTCCCATTAATATTTTTCTCATTTATGAGCTGCTCACCTCCTCCTAAAGAACACTTGGGCACATGCAGCCTTATGTTAAAACCAATAACTCTTTCACAGCTTTTAAATTTTGTTGTAAATTTCACTTCTGTTTAAATTTTGATTAACAAACTAAGCCTGAAATAGTCTGCTTCTTACTGTATTTAAAGTTATTCTTGTTTTCTCTAATTCAGAGTGGATAAGAAAGAAAACTCATGGACCAATTTATTTAGAATTCTGTGTCTTCTTTTGTTGTAAAAAATCCTGAAGTGTTGGGGTGCTAATTCACTGAGCTCCCTAATACTGAACAAGGAGAGAAAGGCATTGTTAAAAAGTTTCCATTATCCCTGTATCTTTTCTAGACTGAGTTCTTTGCTCTGGATCCTCCAAAATGTTCTATGCTTGATAAAAATTGCAGGATGGAACCATCTGTTGTTTTGTTAGAAATTTTTTTTTCCTTTTAAGTTATATTTGCTAGTTAAGCTGAAACTTTTTACAAAAATTTCAATTTAACAGGAGTTAGCATTAAAGCATTTGACATGAATCATGACTTTTGTTTTCTTTTCAGGATGATTTTTTCTCTGTAATAAACTCCAGTGAATCGTACTTCCAAACATATCTTAGAATTGATGCATATTTTTTGCAGCACACTTCTTATTTTTTGGAATAAATTTTTGGAATTTTTTTCTTATTTTTTCCAATAAAGCTATTAGCAATAGCTTTATTTTCTTAATTGTAACAAACAATGCATTTTCTTTCAGGCAACTTTTAAAGGTTGGATGGATATTATGTACGCAGCAGTGGATTCACGTGAGGTATGTCACTGAAATGAAATTTTAGGTTTTTCCCTTTCCTTCTTCCCTTTTCTATCCATGCAGTCAGTTTTTTAGCTGTTTGCAACACCAGATCAAAAATACAAGTGGATGAGTTTATCCAGCTACACAGTGAAACAATAATCCTTGGAGTACCAAGTATCTGAAACTGATCACAATAGAGTGATACCACACAAAAAGAGGGCAAAATAATATACAATTCTGTACCAATCTGATTTGGAAACAGAATATGGGTGTGCCTCTGAAGCAAATTCTCTTCCTTTTTAAACATGTGCAGTAGAACTGAAATAGCCTGCAGCTTTATCAGTTATTTGAGGTTTTCTTCCCTACATTTGACACCTTCTCTATTTCTTCCCCATGTCCTGTTTCTTACTCTCATACTAGCACAGTGAATTTTAACTTTTCTATATTTAGTTGGCTTTGCCTTTTTTCTTGCTCATTCCATCACAGTACTCTTAACTCTGTAGTTAAATAGCTGCTAAATAACAATATTGTTCTTTATATGGTTGGTTTAAATTGCTTCTTGCCTGGGATGGTGTCCCAAAGGAGGGAATTCGCCATTAGATTTAATCCCATTTTTCTAATCAGGGCATTCAGAGGATCCCTTCTAATTGAAACTGTTTGTTTATTACTAAAAAAAAAATTGTTCGAGCATGATTTGTCTTTGTTTTTCATTATCACTACAAACAGTAACAAGACAGAGCAAGACAGTTCTACTTGCACATCTAGATAAAGGTTTAAATGTGCAGAAATAATGTATCCTTCATGACAATAAAAAAAAAATCTGCTATAATAAATTGGAAATGTTAAAGCTGAGATTATCTATCTCATTTTTACCAATATTATTTTTCTGGTTTGATTTTTGTTTTCCTTAACAGATTGGTCAACAGCCACAGTTTGAAGCACGCTTACACATGTATGCATTCTTTGTGGTTTTCATTATTTTTGGATCTTTCTTCATGCTGAACCTTTTCATTGGAGTGGTTATCAGCAATTTTAACCAGCAAAGGAAAAAGATAAGTACTACATGGTCTAACCCATGGTCTCCTGTAATCTCAATTTGATTAAGTGAATGCTTGCTTGACTTCTAGAGGTCTAACATTGTGAAATAAGTGTTTGACTAGATAAATTTAAAATAATAACGTTTCAAACCAAGTTTTGAAAACAGGAATCCCCTCTTCCTCATGGTTTTTACCTGTGAATTCTATTTTCCCTCCAAGTCCTGGGTTTGTTCTAAGTAGAGGACGAGGAAGGAGTGAGTCAAAAAAGTTACCTAGACTTTGCTACAGGAGAGTGGAATTATTTTCTTCTGCTTTGAGGATTTGCTTTGGGGAACAGGAAACCCCTTTTTGCTGAGAGTGAACACCTCACAAATGTGAGCAGGGTAATCAGTCATGGAAGAAGCAGTCATGGAAGGAGTAACCTCTTCTTTCCTGGTAAAGAACCTTGAAAAGGTCTTGTCGATAGAACTTCTTCTAAAACTAGCTACTTTAAAAAGTCATTCATCTACAAAATGAGCCTACAGATTAATTTAGTGAGGTTTTAAAAAAAATCTTCATTGGGATTCAAGCCATGACCCCAGGAGGAGGCTGTGTAGAAATTTAAATGCTGCTTAAAGCCCATGAAGCAACGACTGCTTCCACTTTTCTCCTCATAGTTGTTAAATTCCCTGTTCTTGTTATTCAGTAAGAAAAGGGGGGCAAAATCTTAGAATGGAAAATTCAGCAAAGAAAAGCAATAGTCATCTCTGCCTGGAATATTTCACCTTCCTTGTGCCAAGATTGTTTATCAATTGAGTCCTGACTCATTTAAAGGTTTAAGGTGTCCAGAATATCGGGAGAAATTGGGTCAGTTAATCCACTTGGAAGTCTTACAATAAATAAGCATCTTTCTCATTGAAAAAAATACCAGAAAAGCAGACCCCAACAGGATATTTACAACTTCAAGGTTCCCATTTAGAAGGCAGAATTTCTACTGGAATCATCTATTCTTTCCATAGACTGACTTACACACCAAGTGTCAAAGCATTACTGCCTTTGGTAGAGAAAAATAGAAATAAAATCCACAAGAAATTCTTCTGTTCTCTAAATTTGGACAGAGAAAAGTTGTGTAGGGATTGAGTAACAGCAGTCCAACTTCACTGTAAGAATTTCCTTTTATAATAAAGTCCCAGTTACAATAATCTCAATAGATAAAAAGGTTAAGCAGTTGATAAGCTTGAACATTTGCTAGAAGTTTATGTGAATGTAACACTTTTTTTCTTTTCTTAGTACATGCTGTAACAGATATTTTTTATTTTTCATTTTTCTCTTTCATTTATTTTCTGCTTCTTTGGGCTTTTCACTGAGAATCCATGTAGTGAAGTTAAGCAGAATTTTCAGAGGTTTTTCTGGAGTGATTCCAATTGCAGGTGCCCTGCTGAACATTGTTTTGTGTTTGGTGTAAAAAGTACTGATCACGCAACGCTTTAATGACGAGTGAGTTCTGATTACTGGGGTCCAAGTGATTGCTCAGTAATACAGGTGATGTAGATGCTAATAAGAAATTCACTGCCGGGAACTTCCCATAGAACTTGGTCCCAAAATTCTTATTCATCATCGTCTATTTACTTGCTAGTCCAGCAATCTACTTCTGCTTCTGCCTTTCCCAAAAATATAAAATATTCTTCTTCTTGATTAAGCTTATGTAATTTTAAAAATAGGAAATAGATTTGCAAAACTTTGAAAAGTCTCTCACACTTGAGGGAACTGACTTGTGATGACTGCCTGGACTTGACTTTCATGATCAACCCAGATCAGATCAAAGATCAAGGGGAAAAGGAGAAATGGTGAGGACACATTTGGTCTCTATGCTCTCTTAGGTCCCACTCAATACAAGTGTAACTTACTATCTTTAATATAAATTTGTTGGTATTTATTTGACTTCATCTGAACAACAATGTTTTTTCTCTTTACTTAGGTGGGAAAGATCTATTTTTGACTGAGGAACAGAAAAAGTACTATAGTGCCCTAAAAAAACTTGGATCCAAGAAACCCCAAAAACCCATCCCAAGACCAGCGGTGAGGCCACCTTAAGAAGATTATGACGGAGGATATAAAGAGGATGAAATTTAAACTCAGTAGCCAGGAATTGGGAAATAAACCTTGCCCCTCATCTTCCTCAGTCAATATTGCATTTAGATTTTACTCTCTTTTATTTAAAAATTCTATCCAACACAGTCATCTTGAGGGTATTAATTAAGGAAATTTGCAACCTATTTATCACCTACTCAAATGTACAAACTTTTTAAACCAGTTCATATTAAGTATTTGATATTCATAACATGATCTTGGTTATTTAATTTGCATGATGTTGCTTCTACAACTAGATTGGATTATTGCAGGTTAGAATGAATAGAGAGCAGCACATGCCCCATGGCTGTTATTTGCTTTTAAATAATCTTATGCTTTATTTCTTACATTTTCTTAAATTGAATTCCAGGCCTGTGTTTGCACAGTAACTACTCAGAGTTTTTCCTGTTTATGACATTTTAATTAGAATTGCTTATCCTAAAATATCTGCTTCAATAAGTATTTCTATTAAAAGAGCAATCACAATGTACTCTGAATGTTTTCCTGCTATATATATTATTTTCTTAACCAGTGTGCTTGCACGATGCCTGAAAGTATGGTCAGTTTTCTTTGAGGGTCTAAAGAAATCACCAAAAAATGCTTCTAGCAGCTTCTTGTTAATTTGTGTCATCTTAAATTCCTTTTCTAAGCACAAATTACTGGTTAATATTTGAATGCAGGCTGGGTCTCAGAAGTGGCATTAAGTAGTTCTCCTTCTCTCCACAGAATGCATTCCTAGGATTGCTGTTTGACATCGTAAATCACAAAGCTTTTGATGTCACCATTGTGATTTTCATCTGTCTAAATATGATCGTTATGATGGCAGAAAACACTGACAGACACACCAAGGAGGTTCTTAATAAAATCAACTATTTTTTTGTGGCTGTATTCACTGCAGAATGTGTCTTAAAAATACTGGCCTTAAGGCACTACTACTTTGGAAGTGGCTGGAACGTGTTTGATTTCAGTGTTGTGATCCTTTCAATAGTGAGTAAGTATCAACCACTAGGTCAGGTAAAGTATCTGCTTAATATTAAGCAAATTCTAGTTTGAAGTAACCACCTACATATGTTTGATAAGTAAGTTCCAGATCCATTGTACTATTTCAAACTATCTGCTAAGTGATTCCTTCTAAAAGGATGCATTTTTGTTTTCTCTTATATTTTTGCAGAGTACTAAAAGGTAAATGGAGTTTTTGAATTTTTTAAAGTATGATTTTTATTAAGGCATTAACAGAATATTAGTTTGATTCAGTAACATCTTTTTAAAGTTATTGTACCTAAACTGTTGGTTTTGTGCCTTCAATTTACACGTTGTCACAGGAAAAAAAAATTCAGGTTAAAAATAGATTTGCATCAAAAAAGGGGTTTAATTTAATTTTCCAGGACTTTCCTTTAAGAAGGCAGAGTCCTGTTGCAGATTTGGAAAGCTCAGGAAAATTTGGTTGCTCAACACCATGCTAAACCTGGGCCACTATTTGTGACTGAAAAAATTATTAAAACTAGCTTGTATTGTTTTGGCTCTTTAAATAAGACTAGATGCTGATCATTGACTCTGCAAAGGGTCACATACAGCTCTAGTTTCTTGTACAATTTATTTTGTTATTCCTACTCAAGCTCAGGTCATATCATATAATAAAGGATGGGAAGGAAAAACTGCTCTGATTTCTCTGCTTCCTGCCTAAGCATGATAGTCTTTTGCCATCCTGTACAACCCAGAAAAATTATGACTTCTTAACTCTTCTGTTTGTAATCATTTGCATGGCTACTGTGTCATTATTGTGATAGCAGGGTCATAGAATGAGGTGTTATGGGGGATACACACTGAGAGACAACTTTCCGTTATTTTCTTCTTGCTCTTCTCTGATCTCATTTGAGTGCCAAGCATTATCAAAGTCTCACATTTAGGCTTTGGCCTAAAGGAGAAGCAGCACTCAGACAGTGGCTCAGAGACAATCCCAGAGCTTCTGGCGCAAGACCTGAATGGATTTTAAAGGATTTTTTTAGGTATTTGAGCAATGAATGCATAAATTCACTCCCCAAATTAGAGAAACTGGGAAGAGCACAGCTTCCAAACTGTGCAGAAATCTTTATGCCTCTTTTATATTGAAAGCTATTACAATTTTTCTTTTTTTACCTAAGCTTTTATCTGAGCAGTTTCAGAATTGAAGATGTTTCAATTGAGACCAGTGTAAAGTGATGAGTGTTAGTGCCAACACCTAAAGCGCAGAATATAACAAAACAGACATGAATTTGACTAAATTGACCTGGCAATATTTTGTTTTCCTTTTCCTTTCAAAGGTCTTGGAGTTTCTGAAGCGTTTCAATCTTTCTTCTCCCCGACGGTTTTGAGAACTCTTCGTTTGGCGCGGGTCGGCCGAGTCCTCAGAATAGTTCGCAAAGCCAGAGGGATTCGAACTCTTCTTTTTGCACTGCTGATGTCCCTTCCTGCCCTGGTCAACATTGGCCTTTTGCTTTTCCTGATCATGTTCATTTATGCCATTGTGGGCATGGCAAACTTTGCCTGTCTCCCCGAGGATGGTGGGATTGATGACATCTTCAACTTCAAAACATTTTGTGGTAGCATTCTCTGCCTCTTCCAAATTACCACATCAGCTGGCTGGGATAATCTTCTGGCCCCTGTGCTAAGGGAATCTGATAAATGTGCTCTCCAATTAGATGCAACAGGGACAAAGAAAAATAATTGTATAAATAAGGGCTTTGGTATTTTATATTTTGTAAGCTATGTCATTATATCGTTCCTCATTGTTGTGAATATGTACATAGCAGTAATTTTAGAGAACTTCAATGTTGCCACTGAGGAGAGCACAGATCCTCTTTGTGAGGATGACTTTGATATGTTTTATGAGACATGGGCAAAGTTTGACCCTCTGGCTACGCAGTTTATAGATTATTCTGCTCTCTCAGACTTTGCAGATGCTCTGGCAGACCCCCTGCGCATCCCAAAGCCCAACAAAATCCAGCTCATAGCCATGGACATCCCCATAGTTAGTGGAGATAAGATCCACTGCTTGGATATCTTGCTGGCTTTCACTAAAAAGGTCTTGGGAGAAGCTGGAGATATGGAGGGTCTTGAATTAAACATGGAAGAAAAGATTACAGCTGGCAATCCATCTAAAAGTTCTTACAGCCCAATTTCTTCTACCCTTAAAAGAAAACAAGAGGAAGTGTCAGCTCTTGTTATTCAAAAGGCCTTCAGGAGATATTTGAGACAACGTTCTCTTGAAAATACATCCTTGTACCATTGTAAACATAACAGTGCTGTCTTTGGACGAGAAATACAGGACAAGCAAAGTCTTCTTGAATCACTGCTTAATGAAAACCATGGGAGGAAGGCAGATAAACTACGTCCTGCTTCTTCCATATCCCTCCCTTTATTTTATGATGGCTTTGCTGAGACAGACAGCAATAAGCTTGACACATGAGGTCACCCCTGGCTGCAGCATTTCCAATTAAACCAATGTCACTTATTTTCAGATGGAGAGCATATTTTGATCCCACAAATACTCTACATTTAGAATAATACTGGCAGCCTTTAAATATTGTAATTGTTCAGATTTGCAATTGCTCCTTTAATTGAACAACTATGTCATAAATATTAGAGGAAAATCTCTAACCATGGAATTTTTTTTCCTCAGCTACTGGAGTTGGTGAGTTAATTTTTTCAGCCGTCATTTTCATATTATTTCATGTGTTTACAGAAGAAGTCTATAAAAGATCAATTGTAAGCACTTATTTATAAACACACAAGGATATAGAATAAGGTATATGTCTTTAGGGAGAACCAATTTTTCAAAAAGGCTTTATTGTAGCAAAATTAAGTAATAACTGCACTTCTGTAAAAGAGCTCACTCACGACACTTGAGTATAATCAGCTTCTAATTTTGATGTTTTTGGGACAATCCTTCTCCTAATATCTTTGAATAGATTTGTTTATGTCTAAGAATTTTTGAGGTGCCTTTACACAGCCACCTAAAGGGATTTAACAGATCATCCTCAGTTGCCTTTGTCTGAAAGTTGTACATAATTTGTTCTTTGTACCTTTCAGTGTATGAAAATTGTTGTAATCATAATTAAAATCAAAGAATGTTGTGCAGGAGATATTGTTTCCAGAAAGGAATAATTGTGCATAAAATTCCATCATTATACTTTATCCCTAGAAAGCACTACTTACTAAGCTGAAAAGAAGTTCCTGGTGTATCTTGTGAGGTAGGATTTATTAAATTTAGAGAAAGCATTTATTTCATTGATTCTGAAAAAAATATATGAACAATGTGTAATAATATTTTACAGATTTTTTTTTTATTTTGCAGTCTGGAATATGACTGGTTTAAATTTAAATTCTTTAATAAAGACTTCAGATGCTTAATATGTTTTTGTCTATTTTCTAAGAAGTATCTTCAATTTCATTTATTACAAGACAATCTATTATTGAGATTATATAATTTTCCCAAAGTAGCTATCTATCAGCACAAGAAAACTGAAAATATTTTGCTATTCACAGGGAGTCAGAAAAGATTTAGCATTTTCAGGCCAAGAATATAAAGAACAATAAGATAATGAATTTTTACTGTCATTTCCCTTGTTAAAGACTATTAAAATAGGACAGATTTAGTAAAAACTGAGCTATTTTCAGGACAAATAAAGGCACAAGCAAGCTAAGAGTTAAGGAGTTCAGATACAGTATAGTCTGAACTAGATTTATTTTGGTCAAGCATTGGAACAGCCTCCCCAGGGAAGTGGTGGAATCCCTGTTCCTGAAGAGTTCAAAAAATGAGTGGATGTGGCACTTGGTGCTGTGGCTTGGTGGGCATGGAGGTTCTCAATCAAAGGGTGTGATGGTATAGGGATTTAATGACTATGATAACTGATATGATTGTTAATGTGATAATTGTTTGGTAATTGGATATAATTATTGTTTAATCCCAACAAGAATCATGAGAAATTATGTTGGGGGGGTTTGATGGAAATTACAAAATCCATGCTTGGATGAAATCAATGTATACCATAGAACAATATAAGTTTAATAATTAATCTGTAAGTTATATAATGATAAGTGTATAAAAACATGTTCATCCCAAACCCATGTTGGAGTCAGATTTGGGTCTGCACCCCTGACACCCAGAGCTCTTCAATAAAAGCACCTGCATATATTTATTCTGTGATCATGTGTTCCTGAATGCTGACACATAGACTTGATGATCTTGGGAGTCTTTTCCAATCTTAATGATTCCATGATTGCTTTCAGAACCAGCTCCTGTGGATAAAAAAAGATCTACAGAGCTCTCAGGAGATGCAGAGATACCAGGTGGGTCTGTCTCCTGTCCAGCCTGGATTGTTTCATGCACAGTGATGCTGCTCAGGTGAAACTATAAACTTTATTCAGTGTGAGCTGGAATAAGCTCTGGAATGAGCCAACAGCTTTTGTTCAGCGATCAGGCTCCATTAGATGGCAGCATTTACTGTGGTTTAGGATTTAGCATTTACTGTGGCCAGTCTTCAGTGAAACAGGTGAAATTCGCACAGTTCAGCATAGAAGTACTAAAGTAATTCTAAATTGTTCAGAAGAAAAGTGTCACAAGTCTCTTTTTTTCCTGTCCTGGGCTTTCAGGATAGCCACAGGTCTCTCATTAAGTGCTTATTTGCTAACTGTTCTGGTATCTGATAGACCTTAATTGTTGTGAAAAAAAAATAAAAGTGTTCTCCTGTGCTTGGACTTTCCAGAGGGGTAGTTCAAGCATTTCTCTAGAGCACTGTAAAAGGAAATGTTTCTTAGAGGTAAGACTGCTTTGTTCTTGCATGTTGGAAAAAAGGGAAGATTGCAAATACCATGTAAGAGAATTTTAAACATAATTCACTCTGATCTTTGCAATTAAAAAATATTTGTTTGAATGCAACACTGGGTTCTCTGTCCATACCTAGAAATACTTCAAAGATGAACACTTCATTTCTGTTGCAGGGGCAGAAATTTTGGCAAAATTCCATCTGAACACATCCTTAGTGATTATGTCACCTCAGCAACATCAAAACCACCTGAATTCACCATGGGGCTAATTTAAAAGTCTGACTAATTCTTTAGCATTGCTTAAGCATTAAAATTGCCTTAGGAGAATGGTGATATCCAGCTGCTGCAGCTTCTTCCTGCTGGATTTGTCCAAAAGCCAGTTCAGCTCCTGAAGCAATTTCTTTAATATGGGTGTAAATGGTGATGACTTAAAGCAGTGAAGAGGTGGGAGCTTTTGACAATTCTGTTAATCTGGAACTGTGAATTCCTCCAGGTAAAACTGTCTGGATTTATGTGAACTCTGTGAGAAATTCAGGAATGCTTGGAACACAGAGGAAGAATATTCCTTTCTGTTTGTGATTTCTGTAATTTGATACTTAAATCAGAGAACAGCAGAAACAAAGGAATATTGATTGGATCCCTCCAGTGAGGAAATACTGTGAATGTGGAGCTTCCAGGGAATTTCTGAGGGTCAGCAGTACAGTACAAACCAGCTTTGCCTCCTTAGTGCTGGTTCAGTTCTCTGTTTTACATTTCCATGTGTCACTAATCCTGTGTCAAAATAGAATGTAACAGACCCCTGGGAAATAAGAGGTTTTTCCACTTGGAGCAGATTCCCCAAATGTTTTGTGGCAATTGTCCTGTGACGGTGTTCACAGGGGTCTGAGGAGGAGGGAAGAGATGAGGATCTGACTCCATGTTTCAGAAGGCTTGATTTATTATTTTTATATAAAGATTTATTATTTTTATAGATTTATTATTTTTATAGAAAGTCCAAGCCAGCTGACTGTGATTGGCCATTAATTAGAAACAACCAACATGGGCCAATCACAGATCCACTTGTTGCATTCCACAGCAGCAGATAATCATTGTTTACATTTTGTTCCTGAGGCCTCTCAGCTTCTCAGGAGGAAAAATCCAAAGGAAAGGATTTTCCATAAAAGATGTCTGTGACATTGTCCTTTTACTTTCTGTAGTTCCTCAGTTACTGCTCACCTTGCAATGTTTGCACTATCCGTTATTTCCTCGAGATTCAAAAGAAACCCCAGATGTAAATAAATAAGTTATTTGAAAAGAAATATCCTCTAGTGGAAGGTTCCCTGCCCACGGCAGGTAGGTGGGAACTGCATGATCTTTTAAGTGCCTTTCAACACAAATCATTCTGTCATTCTATGAAAGGTACCAGAAAGAGAATCTCATAATTTCATCTTATCCCTGAACCTACCAGAGGTTGTTGTGCTTGACAAGTGTGTAATCTGCAGTGTCATTGTCCAAAGCCATCAGTGAGCTGAACATTCTCTCCCAACATGAGAAATCCTCACAATGTTGGTGGTGCAGGAAGACATCCCAAAATATGCTCTTATAATTCATGTTTAGAGTGAATATTCCCATAAGAAGAGCACACCAAACAACCTGAGCAGCTTTAGGCAGAGGTCAGGGTCATGGCTAGAAGTAGTAGAGAAGAGATTTGTTGTGTTGGAAACAAGTAGAACAAATTATTCAATGTTTATGGTAAAAGTTTCAAAGATGCAGGAACTGTGCTTAAATACTTTCATTAGCTACCACCAGCTAAAAGCAAGCCTGACAGCAGCCAGATGCTTTTCAAACTTAAATATAAGAGCTAAATAGACACTTTAATCAACTACCTCAGGGTCTATCAATTGATACTATTTGGACATGCACTTCTATTCTCTAGTCTAGGGCAAATTACCAAGAGATTTCTCACCTGCCCACCACTGGAAATGAAATTACGAGTCCTCTGTGACATCTACAACATCATTTCAGGTTTCTTTCTGCAAGTTTCTTCAGCACCCTCGTCCATTAAATCTATTTGGATGAAGGCACTGAGCAGTGTCAGAGCTGAATGTGGTGGCACAAGTTGTGACTCTTTGCTCTGCCAGTTCCAGGGAAAATGTGTGAAGGCATCAACTTAGTAAGTGGTTTTATTGATCTTCAGAGACTTTTGAAAGAGCAATAGAGATGTTTTGGCAACTCCTCAGGAAAAAATAGCTGTTTGGGCAAATCTGTTGCAGTTGTCTGCTCTGTGGTTCCATGGAGTTAAGGTAAGAGAGGCCAAGCTGATATTAATGACAGTCCTTACCTTAATGCAGAACTGTTCTAGTTCTGGGCAGACTGACAGCACTTGAAGTTTTCTCTCCAGTTTCCAGGGAAGTTGGGTTTGTGCAGGAGCATTCCTTAGGTTAGCCTTAGGTTAGATTTCAGACAACAGCCACCCTACTTTGCTGCCCAAACGTTGGTAGAATTTGTCCTTAGGGACAATTTAAAGTGGTCATCAGGAAGAACAGCTCTTTTTTAAGTTTTCTTTTATATATTCATATCTTTCTTGAAGAGGATAGAACTGGAGGTAGTATTTTAGTAATGCTACCAGTCTCAGCAGTCTCTGCAGAATTCATCAGCAAAGATTTCTTACCCTAACTCCAATTATCTATTTTTTGTGCTTGAGGCTGAAGTAACAACACAGATATGATGAGGCAAATAAAAGGCCATCCTTGTGTTCTTCACTTGGTATATTTTTTGCTGCTGCTACCAGTGAAGCCTGTAAGTGCTGCAGCCAGAAATCTGTGTTTGCATGAGAAGACAGATTCTCCAACATTTGTGCACAGAAATTCACCAAAATATTTCCAGCTGTTCTTTCCCCCCCACCCCATCCTGAACAGAAACAACAGAAAATTTCTCCCCCTTTCATTGAGATAATAGTAAGTAAGCTTCAATGAAAACAGTGGCACCGGGATTCCTCCACAGCATCTTTAGAGAATGACGTTTCCTTCCTGAACATACATGGTGCCGATCCCTCATTTATCAGGCTCTGACACCCCATTCAATAAAACACTTGTGTTTATGTCCATTATGTCCATTGCACTTATCTTCAGCTTCCTCCTATGAAATGTTTTGTCTGCCAGCTCTGCACAAGACAAATCCCATGACTGCCAGAACATCAAATATGATGGGTAGTAGGTAATGTCCCTTCCTTTCCTAAATGGGGGGCTCAGCCCTTAACAAACAGCCAATAATACAGAACTCCAAAAATCCAGATAGGAAAGAGAGAATTAATGTACAAGACTGGGTAAAATCAGTGCAAGCTGCACTTTCTAATACACCTGGGAATCCACCAACAAGAGGGCAATGGAGCTCACATAGGTTTTGTGATTGAAATCTTATGTTGCTGTATTTTGCTGAGCGTAACCTTAGGTTTGTGCTGTGATTT